CCCCCGCGACCCGACCCCGGATAGGMGGAAGAAAATGGATGGATGGATCAGATTATATGTAAAGCATGGTGTGCTCTTTATACTGAGTTTTATAGAATTAGAATTTTTGGAGAAACAAATGGCGATATGTCACCTTGCTTGCGATATATCAAATCACAAAATATCATATTGTGATTCCTGTGTCATGATATCTATCATATCACTAAATTCTTGCTAGTTTGTTGAGGTCCCTGCTCAGCTCTCTGAAGGTCCCACCCCAGGGTTTCAGTCAGGTTCTGGTTCTGGACTCAGACTGTACATTGTGGAACCTTGATTCTTCTACTTTTGATTCGTTCTGTTGTAGACCAGTTGCTGTGTTCTGGATCAGGGTTCTGTTGGACCCAGTTTGGTCTAAACTTCATCTGTCAGGCTGATGGACTCGCATCTAGAACCCTTTGGTCTACAGAGGACTTCATGGTCCACTCATCGAACCATCAGCCCTCCACCACTGTGCTGACAGCTGCAGTGTATTCTGGGTAAAGCATCCTTTGGTTTGGGTCTTGTGGTTCCTTCAGATGAAACCAAGTTGTGCAGCCATGTTTTTAGAGAGAAGAGATCATGATCTTTGACCTTTAATTTGCTGACTGAGGCCTGTAGTGTCTGAGGTGGAGCTCATTGCACTGTCTGACCTTCAGGGTGAATAGTCTCTCTCTCTCTGTAGAACGACGGACTCTAAACTCCCAGRTTGATGGGCAGCAGCAGTTGCTTCTCTGTCGTTGCTGATGTTTTCCATCCAGTTTTTGGAGCCTGTTGTGTGTTTTTGTTTTGGGTGGCCTGTCCCTTCACCATGACCGAAGTCTTACCGTCTGCCATTTCGCCTTTGCCCGCTCCGCCTCAAACCGGGCCACCTCTTTCTGGTCGTGGACCGACACCAGCACTTTCCACACGACCAGCAGAATCAGGCCGATACACACAATAGAAAAGGAGACCCCCAGAATAATCATTAGGATATTTGGGGTCTCTGGGCACCCTGATAAGGGACAAAGATTGAAATGAAACCAGAGCAGGAATCCTCTGATATTTATCCATTGTTTAGTTTTAACCCTTACCGTACTCCCGGAGATTATACGCAGTGGTCCCTGTCTCACTTTCAAACACGTTAAATGACATCCAGCACTCGTTTTCCATCATCAACGTGCACGCCACCGAGCTGCTTTTGTCGCTTTCTGTAAAGGAAGGTGAACTGTTAGTAAAGGAGCAGCGTATCCTTTACATTCATATCATCCTCTCTTTTTCAGCTGGTTGCACTGAGATGTAAAGGGATATTGTGTCCTCTGTTGTGCTGTCAGTGTGACCTCCATATCAAAGATTACAATCTGCTGTGTGCTCGTGTGTGGATTACACAAAGCCTGAACCCCGCCGCCATGAGATGATACGCCTCTCTGCTTGTGCTYGGACAGAGGTTTTAAAATCACCTCTTCTTTGAAGGAAGACCGGGTCCTTCGGCTATTCACAGGTGCTACAATAGCTCTGCCTGTACACGGTAAATAATATGTTCCCTATTGTCCCGTTGGACCCAAAACGATATGATTGGGTTTGTGTTAAAGAGGAGGCGCAGAATTCAGAGAGACACATGAGTCCATGGAGGTTGACATTCCTACAAAGCAGTGATCCAAGATGAAACTTATCGTGTCTGCAAAGATAACGAATCAGACAGAAAACAAGAGCAAACTAGACATGGGTTTTTACAATGTAAAAACAAGTGTGCATTGCCATGCAGCATGGCAATGCCTGCAGCAGTGGACTTGCAGAATAAAATGTGACCAAGTTCAAATGTGTTTTCTATCAACTTGTGCTTGTCAAGTCAGCCGGTGTTTGTAATGAGGATAATTGTGTGACAATATGAAGTTTGTAGAGATTTTTTGTTAAAGTTGCTGTAGCTGGGTTTTGAACCCTGAACTCCCACATGAAAGCCCATAGAGTTAACAATGAGACCATTGGAGCTGTGGCAGAGGGCACTGCCAGGGTTTGGTTTGTATGTGTGCAGAAAGAGGCCATATTGCCAATGCAATTGTTGACACTAAACTGCAATATATTACAGCAATAGAGCAATATTAGAACAATATTATAGTACATCAAAATACAATCATATTAGTATTGTAACCACTGAACTATTGAGATTAAATATTATTAAACTATGGTTCAGTACTGAGTAGATGCAGCAGGGGGCAGCAATGGACCAATACAAGGCTCCATTGACTCCCATTATAAATTATTAAACATTAACATTTCAAAAACTATAAGTTTTACAGGCACCAAAAGGCATAGCCATCATTTGGCACAGGGGCTTTACAGATATAAATTACAATGGCAGCCTTAGGACAAAGTATGCAGGAGAAGAAGCATGGCAAAGTGGAGATGACTTGGATGGGAAACGAATCACAATAGTGTGCACTGCATTGGCAATGCACACTGACGAGAACTTTGTAATGCTTTGAGATTGGGGGGATCTTTTTCTCTTTTAACACTTAATAAAAATCAACAAACCTTTGGTTTTCAATCAAATTCAGAAAAACCTACTTCAAAAAGATTGCAAGAAAAGACTAAAACATAAATTTAGCACTAAAAGTAAGTAAATTTGTGTTTGGTAGATTGTTTCTGTAGCATAACAATGCCTTTTTGCAGTGAATCGTATAAGAGGCACCTGATTGGCAGCACCAGAAGCTCAAAATAAGTGTCAACAAAATAAGCTGTTTGGCAGAGAAGATCTGGCTAATTTTTTGTGTGTGCAACCCACATACTCAGCTTTACTGCTCGTCCCACAGACGCATATTCCTTACAAATGTGACACCATTTAAAATGGAAATTAAAAAGGTTTCTATTAAATAACAGAACTTCTGTGAGAATATGAGAAAATGTTCTGGTTTAAAAACAAAAAACAAATGCATAAAAAAACTGAGCTGGATTAAAAACATCAATTTTGGGCTCTGTATCCGGCTTTCTGCTCTCCTTTTAAAGACCCGTATGGTCAGATGCAAAGACCTGTACGGTCACATATAAAGACCTGTACGGTCACATATAAAGACCTGTACAGTGGGGAATAAAGACCTGTGCGGTTCGATATAAAAACTTGTATGATTAGATATGAAGACCTGTAAAGTCGGTTAAAAAAACTCTTATAGTTTGATATAAAGACTCGTACGGTCGGGCACAAAGAACCATAAAGTTAAAAATAAAGACCTGTACAGTCAGATATAAAGACCTGTATAGTGAATTACCATAAATGAGAAAAACGAAACAGGTAAAACTAAAACAAATTAAAAGAAAAAAAAACATGGTATTGAAATTTACCAACTACACTGGATCTAAAAGATAAATATTTTGGATCAGAACCTGGAAAACAGTTTATCAAACTTGTATTATTTATTTATTTATTTATTTATTTATTAAATCATAAATGATTACTGGTGGTCCAAAAAAGACCCATTTTAAGACCTCTATAATAAAATTTATTATGTCACTCTTCAATATGAATTAGGATCAGGGCCAAGATGCAAAAATAAATATATTTAAAAAAAATTAAATTCTAAAATAAACCTTTTTTTAACTAATCTTTCATACCTTGGGGCATGTGTCACAGTACATGACAAGTCCTTAAGTGATTTTTTTTTCTAATCTACCGATCTGGAAAAACACCAGTAAGAAAACTTGTACGAACTTGACAGAGACGCTGTTTGCTCGGTTAGAAAACGTTCATTTTGTTGCCACTGTTGCATAATTTTGTTGTGCCGACAGTTGCAAGCTGAGACTGTTTGGGAAATGTTTCCTTGTCAGATTATTTTTATTAACAGAAGGTCTTTTGTTGAAGTTTTGATGTTTTGCTGCCAAACAGCCGTTAATGCTTCAACAAACCTGTTTGAATGTTTGTTGCTGAATGAACAAGCCCTGACCCAAATGACAGATACTCACATATTTTCAACACTTTAGCTTCAGCATGAACTCCTTTAGTAAAAGTTGCTTTAGTAAGAAATACATAACGTTTTTCAAATTGATGAGATTTATCGTGAGAATGCTGACTCAGCATTAAATTGGTTCTATTTATTTTTATTTCTTCCGTTACCAGGCAGGAAAAACAACAACAAATAACGTTTTTTAGACCAACAACTACTTTCAGTTGATTTAGCTCATTCAAAAGCATTCTGGCTACAAGTTTTGATATTTATAACTTTTAGACTTTTTGAATAACTTAATTTTATTTAGAAAATGTATTTATATCAATGAAATGCTTTGATATTTCTTCAAACCACTGAAAAACCTCTACTCTTAGAAATCTTCAGCAAACTTGCTTTGTTTCCAACTTTTAGCTACTGCTGGTTTATCTTTCAGCTACTGTTTAGCTTATGTTTAAAATAGCTCTGCAGCCATAACAGAACATATTAAGTTATATTTTTCAGGAGCAGTTTATGTGTCTCAGAACCAAAACATGTTGAGTTCTTTACCTTCTGTGTGGTTGTTGGAGATTTTAGCAGCGCTGCACTTCTGATTGCACAACTCAGGATCGTATTTGTCTTGAAGGTGGCACTCCACGCAGGACCTAGTGTTAAAACACACAACGAACAACAGGTTAGAGCTTCAGCTCCCATTACGGACACAAGGCAGTCAGAGGAATCAAAGAGTTCATCAATTATCAACATTTTCCCAAGACCTGGCCTCGGTCTCCGTCACCAGGCTCCCTAGACCAGCGGTATCAAATGGCACCAGCCCTGACAGCTGCTTTGCAAAGGAGAAAGGAAATCTCTTCGTGCTGTGTTGGGGACATTAGTGGTTTTTTGATGTTCCAAGGAAGGTGTAGACACATGTGAACAAGGAGAGCAGAACCTGATATCTCTGAACCCGACAACAGATGGATCATGCCACACAAGAAAACATCTTATACGGTATCTTTCAGGTGAGGAAGTATCAGTTGTAGCAGGAAAGCCAACAAAATCCCCGACATTACACACTTTTGTATCAAAAGAAGAGATGGATCATATGGCACGAGTGGAAATCAACTGTAGGGATCCTGAAATGAAGGACCAGGGTCCAGATCTAGACCTAAACGAAGCCTTATTTGTACCCAGACTGGTTGGTGAATTTCAGCATAATGTAAATGTTTTATCTCTGCACATTATCTGGCATTTAGTGCAATTAATTTATATTTACATTCAAATTGCTTGGTAAATTTAAAAAGAATAGTCAAATGTTGGCCCACAGTCCAAATTTAAACMCAAATGAAGTTGTTTTTGGACCACAGTGGGTTTGGTTTTCAGTTTAATGATTGAGTCATTCCATTGGCTGATCTTAGGACCAATTCAGTCGAGATTTTTAAAGCGAGCCGAGTTGAGCTGAAGATTTGATGTTAACAGACCGCAGACCATTGATTGACCAAAAAGTGACGTCAMTCAAGAGAGCATATCTTTCACAAAAATAAAAATACTCAAATTAAACCAATACAGTGGTTCTATGAGCAGGCGCAGACATTTGTGTGCTTGTTGGCTGACGACAGGATTCAGGTTGAGCTAGACCAAATGGATTTAATTTACAAGCTCTTACTGGGGAAAGGGAAGGTGGCCTTGACATGGCATTTTTGACAAAACATGGCAAAGAATGTTAAGCATTTTATGATTTTATTTCGCTCAAGTGCCCATTGATGTGTTGTATTTACCTTGGATAAATAGCATTACAGACGTTCTTGCAGCCTTGATGCTATGACAATCCTGCCCACCTCAAAGAACTCGAGTTATATTGAAAACCAGAGACCATGTACACCCGAGAAGAGTTGTTGGAATGAGTAGTGATGACACTTGGACAATAAAATACAGCTTTACTTTGAATAAAACCCTAAGTTATCTGAGGAAGAGTTGGTATTATGGTATACTCACTTTGCAAAACTACATGACTCTCCACATGTGGGGCACCTTTCACATTTGTCCCCAGATGCTCCAGGAGAAGAGCACACGCATTGACCACACTTGCATTTTCCCCTGCCGCTGCAGACGCCGCCGTCCTCCGATAAGCACGCCTCTGTGCTGCTGCTGCAGTTGCAGTATTCCCCGATCCAGCCGCTTTCACAACGACACTCCCCGCAGTCACACACTCCGTGACCTACAAAGCAGAGAATCTTTTCAAGAAGCATGCCCCACCATAAATCTGTCCAAATAAACAAGTGGCRGCATTCAGATGAGATAACTCACCTCCGCAAAGCTCTCCGCGGAAACGAACACAAGAGTAATTGTCGCACTCACAGTAAGGACCATAGATGCGACCAAAGCTGGATGTGTGACACACACACTTCCCACAGTAACAGTCCCCCTGACCGTTACATATCTCAGAGTCATTGGTGGCGAGGCAGTTRCTCAACAAAACACTCTCCTCATTGCATTCACACTGAGCTCCGAGAAAGCCTGGGTGACACGCACACRTGCCGCAGTGGAAAACCCCCTGACCCTCGGTGCACTGGCTGCTGTCGGTCGTGGGAGGCTGCTGGCAGTCGCAGGAGCAAAGAGACTTCATTTCCACCTCCAAGCTGTCCTGAAGGCCCACTGGCTTCAGGAAGAAGTGGCGGACTCCTGACAGGCATGCTGGGAGCTCCACGGACACATTGAACAATACCTGCCAAACAAAGGAGAGGTGCTTATAAAACTACACCGGTAATCTTTAATTCAAGATGACTCAGGGTTGCCTAAGCAATATTTTACAAACTAAAGTCTAACATAAATATACTTCTTGTTCCAGCAGTTCTTTTCTCTTCAGAATGTCCTGGTTCTACAAAATTTGACACAAACTGCTAATTTGGGTAATGTCCAAGGTAGCATGGCATTGTTTCCTATGGGGGTCCCATGTTCCCAGGTAGTACTCCTCATGTTCCCCAGGTTCCTATGGTCCCTGGTACTCCCCATGTTCCCCAGTACTCCCCATAGTCCCCAGTACTTTCCATGTTCCCCAGAACTCCCCATGATCCTCAGTACCTTTGTTCCCTGGTACTCCCTATGGTCCCTGGTACTCTCCATGTTCCATAAGTACCTATGTTCCCCAGTACTCCCCATGTTCCCCAGGACCTTTGTTCCTACTCCCCATATTCCCCAGATCCCTATGGTCTCTGGTACTCCCCATATTCCCCAGATCCTTATGGTCTCTGGTACTCCCCATATTCCCCAGGACCTTTGATCCTACTCCACATGTTCCCCAGATCCTTATGGTCTCCGGTACTCCCCATGTTCCCCAGAATTTATATTCCCTGGTTCTCCCCTTGTTCCCCAGGACCTTTGTTCCCCAGTATTCCCCATGGTCCCCAGTACTCCCCATGGTCCCCAGTACTTCCCATGTTCCCCAGAACTCCCCACGATCCTCAGTTCTTTTGTTCCCTAGTACTCCCTATGGTCCCCAGTACTCTCCATGTTCCCTGGTGCTCCCTTTGATCCCCAGATCCCTATGGTCCCCAGCACCTATATTTCCCAATACTTCCCATCTGTAAGTATCAGGTTACTGTCCAGCATGTTTGTAAAAAGGCATTGAGAAGCCTATGTTGATGGACTAAACATGGAAATGTCCCACTGTGACAATAAATTCAATGAAGCAGGAGCGGTGGTAATGGCTGACTCATGGTTGATCTGAAGACATTAGCCCAGAACCTACCTCTCCTCTCAGAATGACCTAGAGCCTGCTTATCATGTCATAATAAAATTGTAATTTTCCTGTAGAATAAAAGTGCGAAGATAAACATGTAACAGACCGTCTCTCCTGGTTTGATGTTGGAGCAGCGTTTCAGATCGGGAAAGACCGTCCCATTTGGACAAATGGTTGTGAAGGACATCTGCAGCTCCTCTGTGTCTCCGAGAGCTTCRAGTTCAATCTCTGAGCGCAGCTCCTGGAAAACAGTGCATGTAATTTAAATTTCAGTCCCTCACATGAAGAAAATAGCAAACAGACAAACAAACTAAACGACTTTTGTTGCCATGAAGAGGAATTTCCTGGCCTGAAAGCGCACTCTTTATGATAACCCTGCTATGACCTGTGATGTTCCAGCTGCTAAACCTCCCATCCTTTCTAATTTTGTCTTTTTGATGAGTCATTTTCCCAGGTGCGTTTCACCGTACAAAGCACCTGGAGACTGAATGACAACTAAACTTAAGTAAAGAATGAATTGAATGACGAATGAACTCTGACAGATTGTCTGGAGGTTAGGAACTGAACTCTGTCTTGAAGAAGACATTGATGGGATACACCCAACTGAACATGGATTAAGTCTCTGGAACTGTTTGAAAGGACTCCACTGTTCATTAAAACTGCTGCAGAGTATTGAAAGTGGCTCAAATATCTACCTGTTAGGGCAGATCTAGACCTAAACAAAGTCTTACCTGGATCCAGATTGGTTGCTAAATTAATACTTTCTTTTACTGTAATATAGCCAACTGGAGTTTCTAACCAATACAGGAGTGGACCTTAAATGATAGACAATGATCCACAGTCTGACCAAAATGTATCTTCTGGACCCATATTAGTTGCTAAATTGCAACGGCACATTGTGTTTTCCTTCTTTACTGTGCTTCAGATCTGGATCCATATCTAGACTTACGTTCGTCGTAAGTACAGGGGTTAGACAATGAAACTGAAACATCTTGTTTTAGACTATGACATCCCTTTCAGACAGCTTCCTCTTGCGCCCACAGTTAATCCTGTTGGATGTGGTTGGTCCTTCTTGGTGGTATGCTGACATTACCCTGGAYACTGTGGCTCTTGATACATCACAAAGACTTGCTGTCTTGGTCACAGATGCACCAGCAAGACGTGCACCAACAATTTGTCCTCTTTTGAACTCTGGTATGTCACCCATAATGTTGTGTGCATTGCAATATTTTGAACTAAACTGTGCTTTTACCCTGYTAATTGACCCTTCACACTCTGCTCTTACTGGTGCAATGTGCAGTTAATGAAGATTGGCCACTAGACTGGTCCAATTTAGCCATGAAACCTCCCACACTAAAGATAGGTGTTTCAGTTTCATTGTCAAACCCCTGTAGGTAGTGGTACATAGGTCAGTTGGTGAGTTGTGAATTTTTATTTTGACCCTGATCAGTAGGAAATGTTCAACAGAAGATTTAGTTGTTTTATCTACGTTTTTGTGCCTTTACATGAACTGTGTTTTCCAGTAGGCCTTAAATGGTAGACTGCAATCTACAATCTGACCAAAACATATTTTCTGGACCCGTATTTAAAGTTCAACGGCACATTATGTTGTCTATATTATATTTTATGTTTGTCTATAAATGGTGAACTGGGCTTCAGATACAAATCCGTATCCAACCTACCGTCATAGATCAGTTGGCAAATTTTTACTGCATGTTTTTTACTGATGAATTTTTCTCGTGTTTACGGTGACTTATGTTAAAAGTTCTTAAATGGTGTCCATGATCCAGATCTAGACTTGTTTAAATATTTTATTCTTATCTGGACCCAGATCAGTGGGTAAATTTCAACAGAATGTATGTGGATCATATTTTAATTATTGTAATTAATTGACCGTTTTACAGTTACCAAAGATGCTTTAAGAGTTGTAGATTGGTTGGTAATTCATTAGAAYGTTTATTGTTATTTATTTATTTTATCATTTACATTACTTTTGGTCCAGATACAGACTCCTTTCTAATCTGGACCTAGAGATTGTTTGGTAAATTTCTGCAACRTTTTCTTGTTCTTATCTTGATCAAGATTTTTTTATTTGCCGCATTTATGGTATTTAATTCTAAGCATTACATTATTTTAATCTTTAACTTTATTTCTGCAAATATTGTAAGTGTGGTTTTATTTTGCCTATTTCTACGTGTGTGTGTGTGTGTGTGCGCGCGCATGTTTTAGACTTTAATTTGAGTAAAAAAAACGTAAGGTTTAGAGATTTTATCATACACCATTGCACTAAAATAAAATAAAATAATCCAGGTAACCATACCATACAGATTATCCGTTTACCGTTTAAAATATTCAATCAAAGKGATGAAGGTTTGTGTGAATATAAACGTCGTAACCTGTAAAATAATTAAAGGACAGCACGCCAACACCAGTCACCGCTGCCCAGGGGGATTTATAAAACAACAGCATGCGAGGGATAAAGACAGAGGGAAGAAGTGGAAAAGAAAGTCTGAATCAGAGGAGAGGACATCAAACAGATGAGACAAGCAGAAACTTGCAGTCCAACATGTTGGTGCAGGATGGCAGAGGTAAAAATGTCAGGAAAGAAAACTAAAGTGAATCAGAAGGAACGATCAAGGCTGACACCGGCAGGTGTTTTACAACTTTACTTCTGATCTCCCAGGTCACCAGGACTGTTTATTTACTTTATACGCCGTTACAATCAGCTCCAGGATGTTCCTTGAATCTTCGGCCACAGCTCCGACCGTGGCTCCTGGGATGAGATTTGCGTAGTTCTAGGAGGAAAAACAAAACAGATAAGAGTCATGATGTGGGTTAGCCCTGATCACATTCCCAAACACACACAGAAATGTAAAAAAGGCAACTGGAAGCAAAATGGGCCAGTTCTAACAGGCTGAATGGGAATGTAGTTCTACGGCAAGTTGTTTGTGTATTTAATTATTATCAAGCTTCATTTGTGTCCATTAGTTTGCAAATAAGCTACACTAGTTATACATTTGGTCACACTTCTTCAACATCTTACAGTCCCCATGGTCCCTGGACCCTGGTGCTCTCCATGTTCCCCAGTACTCCCCATGGTCCCTAGTACTCCCCATGGTCCCTAGTACTCCCCATGGTCCCTAGTACTCCCCATGGTCCCTAGTACTCCCCATGGTATGCAGTACCTTTGTTCTCCAGTACTCCCTATAGTCTCTGGTACTCCCCATGTTCCATAAGTACCTCTGTTCCACAGTTTTATCCATGTRCCCCAGTACTCCCTTAGTACACTGGTTTGACAACACTGTTATTAGTAACACTTTTTTTTTTTACCAACAAGTTGATTTTTCCCTAAATAGTASGAGCTAAAGTCATACTAAACACTAATAACCCCAAAATTTTGTCATCTTTTTAAAACACTAGCTGATGACGACTGGACGACTGTCACTCAATCTGTTACATGTCTTCAAAAATTAGCAGAAACTAACACCAACAGCTGTCACTCTGCTAGTTAGTAGAATTTGTGTTAACTAATTAACTTGTACAGCACAGTTATTGACTAGTTTGGTCCAGTAATCTACCAAATAACTAAATACTGACTTGTTGAGATTATTGGGGTACTAGTGTGGCGAAATGGCTCCTACTACTTGGTTTGTTGGACTAATGCATTAAAATATCAAACAAGTATGACTAAATGTGTAACTAGTGCTGTTTACTTGCAAACTAATTGTCAAAAATGATGCTCGATATCAGGGATGTTGAATAAATACAAAAAAGGCCTGCTGTAAACACTTGAATTTATCTACTTTGGAAATACTCTGTTGGAAAAATGACTTAATAAAAAAGCACTGTTACCTTATAATTGTTTATCTGCTCGTCAGTCACAGCAAATATCAGCAGGATGTTGTTTTCCACCACCTTATCAATCAACTGGCCGAGAGTTGGGTACTCCTAAAAAAAGTTGCAAAAAAAACTGCAGGTGTGTTTATCCCAGACGACCAAAGAAAACAGAAAGCTTTTATTACAATGAAACACATGAAAACAAAGCACTGCCCTGTCTGTTTACCTGTACTGTGGACTTGGAGTATTCGTTATTTACATCCAGGTGACACTTCCCATCGTTTGGGATCACGATTCCGGCCATCTTACTGTCCATCCCAAAGTGTGAATCAGCGTCACTGACAAACACCAGCAGTCGCATGGAGTCATTCCTCCAGCCAATCTTCTCCTACAGCAGAGACATCACCGTGCTGAGTCATCACTTAATGACAAGGTAATACCAGGTAAGATATTCGAACCTTACCCCGCAGACGGCTGCTTGTAGGATGGCATCAAAGCCACACTCGGGTACGTCGACGTTGGCGGACACGCGCTGCTTAGAGATGATCTCGTTGAACTTGTCGGTTCTGCTGGTCAGAGACAAGCCGTGTTTGTAGCCGAACGTCGGCAGGCAGGACATTCCTAGGCTGTCACTGTGGGACAGAAATATGTAAATAAAAACAGAAATGAGCAAAAAAAAATCTGAAAACACTGCAATCATAGCTCCTTTTAGACACGGACTGTTTAAAGGTTGTTAAAAAGTCAAACYCTCTCAATTTTTTGTTGTCCTGTTCCTGTTGTTTAAAAATATTTTACTAACAAACCAGAGAGACAAAACTTTGTTCTTTTTATTTTTATGGTTTTTTCTCTGAACTCTTATTGGGCGCTCCCCTGAAACTCTTTCTGCTGTGTATGATGGCATCCCCAAAACTTTTATACCCATTAAAAAGGCAAGAGGGTTGTTTAATTTAACCAGTAGATAACTCAGATATGTTTACTAGATTATCTCTCTTTTCAAGGTAACACTGATGACTTAACTAATGTCCTCACTACCCAAYGACAAAACTAACCTATGACTAATCTAACTAATGACCAAATTAACTAATGACTTGACTAGCAAATGGCCTAAATAATGACTTAATTAACTGATGAAACATTACTGACTAGCTGATTATATAACTAACTGATGACTTAACTACTTAATGACCTAAATAATGGCCTAATTAATGATCTAACTAACTAATGACCTAACTATCCACTAACTAAACTAACTAATGACCTAACTAATCACTACACTAATGACTTAACTAATGACTCAACTAACTAATGACTACAGTACATCATTAGACTAACTAATGGCAAATCTAACTAATGATCAAAACTAACTAATGGCATAGCTAACTAATGACTAACTAATGATCTAATTACCCAATGACTTAACTAAGTAATGACTACACTAACTAATGACTACACTAACTAATGACTTAACTAATGACTCAACTAACTAATGACTCAATCAACTAATGACCAAACCAACTAATGACTCAACTAACTAATGGCTCAACTAATGACCAAACCAACCAATGACTCAACTAACTAATGACTCGACTAACTAATGACTCAACTAACTAATGGCTCAACTAATGACCAAACCAACCAATGACTCAACTAACTAATGACTCGACTAACTAATGGCTCAACTAACTAATGGCTCAACTAACTAATGATTCAACTAACTAATGGCTCAACTAACTATTGATTCAACTAACTAATGGCTCAACTAATGACCAAACCAACTAATGACTTGACTAACTAATGGCTCAACTAATGACCAAACCAACTCATGACTCAACTATCTAATGACTCAACTAACTAATGGCTCGACTAACTAATGACTCAACTAACTAATGACTCAACTAACTAATGACTCAACTAATGACCAAATCAACTAATGACTTGACTAACTAATGGCTCAACTAATGACCAAACAAACCAATTACTCAACTAACTAATGACTCAACTAACTAATGGCTCGACTAACTAATGACTCAACTAACTAATGACTCAACTAATGACCAAACCAACTAATGGCTTGACTAACTAATGGCTCAACTAATGACCAAACCAACTAATGACTCAACTATCTAATGACTCAACTAACTAATGACTCAACTAACTAATGACTCAACTAAGTAAGGACTCAACTAATGACCAAACCAACTAATGACTCAACTAACTAATGACTCGACCAACTAATGACCAAACCAACTAATGACTCAACTAACTAATGACTCGANTAATGACTCAACTAACTAATGACTCGACCAACTAATGACCAAACCAACTAATGACTCAACTAACTAATGACCTGACTAACTAATGACCAAACAACTAATGACCAAACAACTAATGACTCGACTAACTAATGATTCAACCAGCTAATGACCAAACTACCCATGAACCTAACTAATGCTTTAAACCAGTTTGTCAGGCTTTCTGTTCTTAATAAAGAGCAGAGAAGGAGTCATGATGTTTTAAACATCTGAATTACAAACAAATATAAAAGAAGCAGGATGGTTGGGGTGGGTGAAGGTTAAGGGGGTTTAAAGGGGGTTTAGGGGGTTTAGGTGGGGTCAGTTGGGGTTTCACCTGCACGGGTTKGCCAGGTCCTCCTCTGTGATCCGGATGAACGGTAGGACCGGTTTCTCCACAAAGGAGCCGAAGCCCATTCTGAATTTACTGGTGAGTTTGGACATTTCCTTGGCCAGAGAAGAACCCAAGTCTTTGATCATGTTGAGGTCGTCAATCATGGAGGCTGACAGGTCCATCAGGTAATAAACGTCCACAGGATAGTCTTCTGTGTGCTGAACTTGAACCTGAAAGGTCACCTCACTTCCTGTGACACAAAAACCAACAGAAATCAGCCTGTTTCTGATTGGACCCCATCCAGCAGCAGCTCGTTAGGTAAATAACCTGCACACCTGGCCGCAGGTGGAGGGACAGCTTCTGCGGGGAGATCTGAGTGCTGTTTGCATCGTTGCTCTTCTTCCCCAGAGGCTGGTCTAGGAGGACCCGGCTCCTGGAAACGGGGAACTGCAGGTGGTCTTTGGCGCAGCCTTTTTCTAGCAGCAGCTCCAGAGAGTCGCATCGTTCTGAGACCGAGAACCAGCCGGTGAAGTTCTGAGAGGACAGAGACAGTCACAGATTGTTTACAGGTCAGAGACTGAGACGGTTTTATAACGAGTCATGTGATGACATCAGCTGTTTACTAAACTATAAAACAAAAGATTAAAGGTTGACTGATGTCACACACATCTTTAGAAATCACTGCAGCCGACGGCCGATACACTGAGTTGTTTTTGTTTTAAACTGAAGTCAGTTTGTATTTTTGTTCAACAGAACAATAACTGTCAAGACTGAAGAAACTTACTTTATACTATTTATTCTTCATTCGAATTAGATTTTAATTTAAATTAGCAACGAAAGGCAAAATATTCTGTTTTATCTGCAGTGTTCAAGTGAACTCGGTCACTTTAGCGCATGTGTCAAACTCAAGGCCCGCAGGCCTAACGTGGCACGCCGTAGCATTTAATGTGGCCTGCGAGAGCTTCAAAGATGTATCAGTGTCTAATTTTAACAGTTGATTTTATGTGTTTTAATGTTCTTTTATGTGCATTTTGAGTGATTGTTTTTTTAATGGAAGTACCCTGTTGTTTCTGTCACCACATGAAACAGACAATAAAGTATTCTATTCTATTCTATTCTATAATAAGGTGCTTTCAAGCCAGTGTTGACCATAAACTACAACTCCCATAATGCACRTTGATTATTTTACCCACAAAAGTACGGCCTCCCACCACTAGGTGGCTCTGCAGCCCAGTTGTACTGGGAAGTGGGAATTTCCCTCTTACAAGTTGTAGATTTAAACCGGAACGCACCTCTAGTGGGATTTCCCTGTGGGAAAGTGAATTCAAGACTCACCGCAACTCAACTGTGAGTAAAACATTTTTTACTTTTAATAATAATGTTTCTGTGCTATTTATTTCACATGTAGTCAGTCGTACTCGTAGTACTTTCAGTGTTTTTATGAGGACATGTTAAAACACTGTTTCTATGCAGGAAATACCAGGTAGAGCTCAGTTAGTGGAGCTCAGGAACGTGAGGTTTTAATCAGATTATTACAACCATGATGTGACCTCCTGTTTGTGACTCAGGCTGAAGTGAACCTGATTTCCCGCCTCTAATAAAATCTGACTCCTTATCAACGACAGATCCTGTATTTACTTGGATCAAAAGCAGATTTTGCAGCTGCATCTTTATTTTCTGATGGTCAGATACAAACAGATGTTTTTTTTAAACGTGGCCAGTATCAGCTGAATAAAATGCTCCAGGTTATTGATCGGTGCGTCTCATAATAACATTTATTAATGGGTGTTTTTACCTCCTGTGAGCACCAGGCACAGTGAGGGCTGAGCTGCAGACACTCATCACAGCTTCCTGCACTCCTCTCTGAACACAGACCTGAAGACATGAACACAAAACATTACAGGGTTTAATCACTGACGTCTGAAGCTGTTCAGTCAGTATTTATTATTGTTTAAATAAATAAATGTTTTAACGGTTAGAATAAAGCCCATCCAGGAGTTTGAYGAAGTTATTTAACGTTTCCAGAGTTATTGTCTGAATAATCTGACTCTCACTGTCTTTGTTTGCACTTGACAAACCTCTGCTGCCCTTTAAGGTTTCCAAACCTGCTGAGCTGAGTCTTACCCTCCCCAGAGCTGATCCAGTACTGGAGAACCAGGCCCAGCAGTAGAGGCCACATGAGTCCGTGAGCTTCCTGTCAGGAGAAACAGAAGAAGAAATGTTTCAGGTCGTCTCATGGGTTATTTCCAGGAGTGAAACAAATCCAGCGCCATGCCTTCAGCAACTGAAAGGAGAGCAGGAGAGCCGCCGCACCTGAAGGGAGGAGGAGGAGGAGGAGGAGGAGGAGGAAGAGCGTCTACCTGCCTGTTACTTCAGTCCAGGTGAGAGAGAGGCGGGGCCGAGAAGAAGTGACACATTTATGCTCAACTTACCTTTTTTTTACTAACTCTTCCTGTTGTCGATACAGTTTCACATGTGAAAACCTTAAATTAACATGTGAAAGACCTTTTCACATGGGATTTTAAAACCTTAACACGTTTATGTGTTCACATGGTTTTCCACCACATGTTCATGCAGTTATTCTGTAAAGGAAACATGTGTTTCAGATGTTATTTAACACTTATTCACATGTGATTATTAACATGAGAGCGTGCAAAACATTTGTTTCACATGGCATGTAAACATGTTAAAAATAGTCCAAAACCACGGATTTTATTTTATTTTACTAAACATGTCTTCACAAGTAAAATAAAGTGATTTTCAACATAGGTAAATGTGCAAAACACACATTTCACATGTGTATTTAATATGTTTTTACAGGTAAAATTGTGTGATTTTCCACAAGTGTTTTACATGTTTAACATGTTCGAAATGATCAAAAATCACATGGCAAATGTGGAAAACACGTATCTCTTTTGCCATGGTTTTTCACATGTGACTCTAGTATGTGGAAATTTGTGATCACATGAACATGTTGATAATCCACATAGGAAACATGCAAAACACATGTCACATGTTATTTTACTAGGTAGAATAGTGATCTTCCACATGAGAACATGCACAAAATGTGCTCCACATATATCACATTTTGCTTTAGCATGTGTTTCACATTTGACTTTGAAAACTGTGGCTACATGTGACCAAATGGGAAATGTGCAAAAGACGTCTCAGGTTATTTTACCAGGTAAAATGGTTTTCCACATGAGAACGTTTCATATGAGTGACGTTGATTTATCATGAATTTCACATGTGACTAATATGTAGATGTGACTACATGTSATCACATGACAATATTCTAAATTTACATGGGAACATGTGTTTTGCACATGTCATAAACATGTTCAAATATTACAAATGCTCAGAAAATGTGCAAAAATGTGTTCTTTTAACATGTGTTAACGGGTAAAATCATGTCATTTTTCACATGGCAACATGTTTCACATGTGAATCTGTGAAAACCATGATTACATGTGATCACATGAAAATATTAAACCACATGGTAATGTGCAAAAAACACATTTCACATGTTTTAACAGGTTTAAACAGATACAAGAGATTTTTCACATGTGCAAAATGTATTTTACATGTCATCCCATGCGGAATCCAGGTGAACATGTGAAAACCGTTCACACACRAAATGTGCAAAATGTGTTTCACATAACGTCTGAAACATTAATTAGTAACAAAATGTAAATTTTGTAATGTTTCTTTGACATTTAAATGTTTCATCTTGTTATAAAATATGTTGTGATCGGCACAGTTCTACTAATCTTTCTTCTTTTTTTGATAAAACTCAAACTGTTTTTCTCGTGATCTTTTTAGTTCATTGCTTGATTTGTTATGTCTGTTTACCTGCAGTCATTAAAAACTTGAATCAGTCATTAGGTAACCACATGAATGAACCTTATGAAGAGGGTGGACTTTCGGGACTCGGATTGTAATAAAACCGTTTATTTCCTKTTCCTCTGCTGAAGCTCCGCCCCCTTAGCAATCTGACTTGAAACCAGACGTTAGGAGCAGAAAAGTTAACGTTTAACTGATGACTCATCGTTGTTTTGTCTCAAGAATGTTTCTGTTTGACGTCCGCATAGGCCTGTCATGATCTGAAGTGTGTGTGTGTGTGTGTGTGTGTGTGTGTGTGTGTGTGTGTGTGTGTGTGTGTGTGTGTGTGT